AATCATTACAATCATTGCAATCATTGCAATCACTCATTAATCCTGGGGTAAACTACCCCATGTGCACGCACACCTAATCGATTATCATTTAAAATGACAACTCAATTTTATCGAGAGCTCCACATAAATAAGGAATTAAGTGACTATTCTTGATTGAAATCGAATAGAAATTGAATTGGAAAATAAAATTAATCGCAATTCCTCGTAATGACGAAAATATATAATTTTATTGAACATCCCTTCACGAACTCGTAATATGGAGTTGTCAATGATAACTAGAATTTGAATATTCAATGGTTAAATTTGATCTTAGAAGTTGGTGGATGGCAATCCATGAATTATCGGGGTTCGTGATCGGACTTGGAGCAGATTGGAGGCACCACCGATTCATCTAACACGAGGAAATAGTCCGAATTCGAAATCGCCGACACGTCGTTCAAACTCCCGGGGCCGATATTATCCAAGTGGCAAAGTTATCGGGGGCATATAAGTGAGAAAGAGAAAGAGGATAAAGGGAATGGAATGAGATAGGAGAATCCCCCAGGATCTTTAACTCGTCTGCAGGTGGCCAAGGGGTCCTGGGGTTGGTGGTTGTTACTTGGTATGCAAGTAACGCGGCCATTCATCTCCCGATCTCCACCAGTCCCGACCTCCGGATATAAATTAGCTTTTGTTTAGCATTCAATGCGAACCACCTCTACCCCATCTACCTATATCTCCACTTTCTTACTCTTTTAACTTGTGCCTGTAATGATTCGCCAGTCATTACCCCTCGTCCCACCAATTAATGCGTTCTTGGCTAATTACTAATTAGACGTTTGAAATCGGTTGCTCTGATGTTAATGAATAATTTAATCGACCATTATTGGGAGAGAGGAGAACTATTTTTCATTTGGAATTATCAGGGGCTTCAACCAGTTTTTTATTAATTTTATGTAAAAGGTGATTTTTTATCGTCTGGATTTTACGTACAACGAATTCAAATATCAGGGATAACGGGGGAAATATTCGCTTTCAATTGATGCTATTCAAATTTTTATGGTTCATCGATTTGGGGAATTATTAATTGGTTCTTGTCAGTTTCAGGTGAGAGTCGGTTAACGATAAGGAAAAGTTGAAATGTCTTATCTTTGGAGTACTCAATTTTCAAGTAAAAAAAAGAGGATAATGTTCAATATCTGGAAATAATTCGCCTGAAAAAGTTGTGATATCGAGTTTTCTACAGAGAATTTTCTCAAGAATTTTCATGAACTCGTCGTCAAGGGGTTTTTAATAAACGAGTCATTAATTGGCGTTTGAACGGTTTCATCAATAATAAATTATGCGCTGATCCAACCAGACGTTTACATCAGTATTTTTTTAGTGTGAGTGTGAGTAATTAAATTTGTCACGAAATATCTCGTGATTTGATTGGACGTGGGAGAGAATAAAGGGGCTTGCTACGCGTGAATCCACAAAGTCTGGTTGGCTAATACCGAATAATTAATAAATGCGAAAATGCATTAGCAGAAGAGACCGCGAGTTGAATCGCGCAAAATGCTTGGGTACTGGGATTTTCGTCTACCCTCCAACCTCAGGTGGAATTATAAAATAATAAAGACAAAATTGCGTAATGCGAAGGATCAGATGAGAATTAGGGGACAATGAGAACAGGGCTAAACAGTTTCGAGGGACCCAGACGTCTTAATGTCTGAATTTATCTCCCTCTTCCGAAAATTCTGTTCAAATGGTTAATATTTTTCATAAAAGCCACTCACAACCATTCTCTCCAAAAATCATTTGAAATTTTCATTTCAATTCGACCCGACACACTCCCTACAACCAACTAATCACGCCAATTCATAATTTTTATGATCGACGCAGATCTATTTACTTAACGAAAAATAAATAAAGAATAAATAAAAATTGACAAGTTATTGGGATGAATGCATTAATTTAAAATTAATCTTCTGAATTGAGTTTCACTGGCAGAAGGAATGGGAATTGAAAAGCATTAAATTACTAGCCAGAGTGTAGCAACTTTGTAAATGGTAACAATGTTATATAATTAAGTAGAAAGTTCTGTAATCAAGAAGTACATCTCCAGTGACTGTCGCCTCAGTATCCATTTCCCCTTGCACCTCTCCATCCCTATCCCCCCGTTCTTATAACCCCTATCTTTTCGTATTAAAGTAGCCCACTAAGAATGAAAGAAAAAGGGATGACACGAACGAAGAAGGAAGATGCTGATAGTGTGGGTTGTGCCCTGCATATCTTAAAACCCATGGGTTGGTAAGAACTCGAGACGACTCTCTGATTTTTACCGCGATTCATATCACGAGGGGATGAAAATCTTCACCAAGTTCTTACCCCGAGCAAGAACAACAAGTAATACTGATTTTTTATTTTATTTTCCCTTATTTTCCCTTTTGTAAAATGTTTCAGTACATATACAGCTTGATACATTTTGAAGTATAATTTTTTCATAAAGAAATTGCGCGCGAAATGAAAATTCAAATTCGTCATTTTCTTGAATTTTCAAGGAAAATTGAATTGAGATGGAATAACTCAAGAGATAGAGAAGATACAGGAGTGAGGAGTGAGGAATGACGGATAAAAAAAAAACGTTGACTAGAGGTTTGAGTATTAGACAAGAGCATTGAGGGGTAATTTAAGAAAAGCTCGAATTGCCGGTCGATCCGAAGCGAGTGGATTGAGAAATGAAAAAAATTTGAGTTTGATAAGCATAAAATGGGCGAACAGTCGGCGTTCTAGGAATCGATCGCCTTTATCATCAGAATACTTGAGAAAAAGAGTAGTGTAGAATGAGAAAAGGTATCATGGAGCGTGTAGACCTCGCAGTCAGCATTTTCACGGTCGGTTCATTTCGTGGCGATGACTTCATGCGCGTGGGATGATGCGAGTTAAAGTATAGGCACTGGTTTAACGTTCTCGCGTCATTAGTCGTATGGATATTATTCCACACGTAATGAACCCAGACAACGTGAGCCTATCCTCTCCCTCGGTTTGTTTTTATGTCAGCCATCTGAGTAATTGTAAGCCGAGAGTAAAGGATTTTTCCTGGATCGTGCGAACGCGCAAAAACATCGGTAACAACCACTCCATGCCGTATCTACTTTCAATAGTCTGACATCACAGTGTCCATTTGCACCAACTTTGTTTCATGCTTTTTTTTTTTACTTCTCAGCTCCATGACTACATCATACCTCTATTTTATGTTATGTTTCGTCTTATCTTAATGACTCTGTCAAGTCTTGGGTTATACATTCTTCTCATTTGTTGAGGAACAATTCCCTTTTTCTTGATAAAATATTATCGTTTTGAGAAACATCTAGATTCATTCTCAGAATTCTCAGTGGTAATCACAAGTGTTCCGAAATTATCGGCTAGTTTCGCGATAGCTTCGTTGTACGTAAATGAAGTTTCGTGTTCTTTAGTCAGTGGTAAAGGAAAAGCTACTGTAAAATAATCAAGGCAGAAAGAAATGTCTGGAATAAAATTGACAACCGTAAGACATTTTCAAATCGAAATGACAAGGTGAGAGGCAAACGAGAGAAATTGAAAATATAAAGACAGAATCCGTTAAGTAGTCATTAATATTTCCATCTGCAGACGAGTAATTGTTTTTTCTTCTGCAGAGTTAACCAAATTAACAATTCGCTCTGATAGATTTTGATTGCTTCGTACTCGCCGAAATATTAGATGAAATCGAATTGTTCTGTAGCACTCGCAAATACAAATCCATACCAATCGGTTAAAAGCGGTATTTCCTTGCTCGCGTTATGAATTTCTCCACCTCAGCACAGGTGTAAAAATATCGCATATTTATTTTCACCGGTACGTACCCCCGAAATAGACAAGAATATTCCCCTATTCCCTAACCTTTTTACGCCAATTTCTTCATTCAATTTTACACTCCGATTATTCCACAAATTCCAAAGTACTATTTCCACCTATTTACTCAAATTTAGAACACGAAGATTCGTCCAATAATAACCTTTTTTTAATCCTGGTGGAAATGGGGGTGAAAGTAGGGGTTGAAAATGAGGTGAAGATTAAATAAAAACAGTGGGTGTAATAACGTGCGAGTGAAATAAAAGAACTGACTCCAAGACAAATAGCTGAGGGAAAACAAAGCGTATTATAAATACGGTTCCTTCTCAAGGGGGTTAAGGATACTTTTGGGTTAGGGAGAAAGAATCAGAGGGTTCACTCATTTTTTTACTCCTCTTTTTCACTACGGATAAGGGGTGACAACGACATGGCATTTACGACCGGACGAATTGTCCGTCGAATTTTTCGTTGCAACAATGACTCCCCGATAATATCTAGAGAATTTTATTCCTCATTTGACTCTTTATTTCTCCGTATTTTCCTCTCACATATTTTTTTTTGTTTTATTTATTTTCCTGTTGAGTTGAGGAAAAATCCTATTTTATTCATGATGCTACATTATGCAAGACGTTTGGAGTTATTTTTCATTAGTCATTGCTTTAATTTGTTGATTCAAGGGACGGCGAATAATTCAACTGTGCAGAGAATCGCATCTGCATTCAGTGGTGGTTTGCAAAGATTTGCGGGCATTTAACCCGAATTTTATGGACTCTAAACTTTAAATGGGCCGTTACGAGGCAATTTAATGGACAACAGATAGCGTCTAAGTGCTTAGATTTGTGCTGTGCAGGGCAGTAAACACTTTCTCTGTTTTGTTCTCTTCAGGATTGAGGAGAGAAATTGTTTCTCTCGGTAAACAATTCATATGCGAGAATAGAAGGGACGAGTCTTCTACTTCAATAGAAGATTCAATTGATCATTTAGATTCAGATTTAAAAATCCAACAGTTATTTAAATTGAGGAAATTCAACAAATTAGGTAATCTCAGGGCGAGGGTGGCTCAGCTCATTCACGGGTTTTCCAACGATTTACAATGTAGGGAAAGGTTAATTTTGGGAGTGTCCGATTTTATCGGGTTACTAGTGAGTTGGAATTGTTTGACTTACACCAGGTCGTGAATGGCTGCGCGGATTCAGCTGCCAGGGCGCCGTGGTCGGCTGGAAGTGCTCTTTTCCCCAGGATCCAGTGTCAAAGGGACTTTCGCCGATGTGCCCCTGCAAAATAATAAATGTGAGCATTTTTATTCTCTATATTCTGTTCTATAACGACTACGATTCATTTATCGGTGAAATCACGAGAAATCACTCGTGTTCTCACATTTGACAATAAATAATCCCTCGATTTTTTTATAGTTTTGATAGACTGAATACAAAAAAACCGTGCCACGTATTCGAATTGAAAATTTATGAATCAGGGCGATTATACCCCCACGGTTCATTTAAAAATTTTGTTTTTATAATATATTCCAGCGGCTTGCGCCATTCAGCGGTGGGTGAGCGAGGAGCACTTCAGCTTCTTACCTCGACTTTACACACCCCTATAAGCTTTATTTTTCTTTTAACTCAACTTCTAACCTAGACTTCATGGTATTATAAATCAAGGAGTATAATGAGAACGCTTCATCTTCGCCCCAAACCCACTCCAAGACGCATCCTCTGCACCATTTTTTCCCCTTCTGACTCTTATTTTCTATTATTACTCCGGCAAACTACTCGCCGTATTTTTTTTTTTCATAACTTTCCATTGAACTTTGCTATGGAGGATTATTTTCAGAGTTGCTGCAGTTTCAGTGTGTTCTTTAGAATTCAAACGAGTGAGGTCAGTCATATGAATTATTGAAATTATTTCCTGAGAGTGACTTCGCTGGATTCACTTGTATTGTTTAAAAAATATTTATCATTTTTTAGAATGACTTTTTATTTTGAGAAAGTTGATTCATCGCTGGTCTTATGACTAGGTCAAAATAAAAAGCGATAATAAAAAAAGGCCAATATATAAATAATGACACAAATTTTTATTCTGACATATTGTAGCAAATGGATTGTATGAATTTTCGTGATTTCTGTCTGCAAATCTAAATGTTAAAATGATTAAGACAATTAATTATTGGGCAATGCAGTTCTAAAATAATAGTTGACTCATCCATTACTCGAACTTTAAAAAAGTTTGAAAAAGTGATTGAACGTTGCTTTAATAAACTATCTGAAAAAGTTGATCGACAATTTAACTTATTCTTTCTCAACAAAGTACGTACCTGTCTACCCCCAAATAACAGTTTACTTAGAAATCGTGGGGAACGTCTGACAATAGATTGCGTTTATCCGTTTGTATACGTCAGCCACATCGATCTACCGTCTCCAATTGAAATACTCATTCTCATTTGTATACGTGTATTTCTATTTGCCCGATGGAAATAAACAGTTCGAAGATAAATAGTGTCCGAGTGATGTACACAGGAAAATAGTCGACATTAGCAAGTATTGCAACGACTTTCAATGATTGTCTATGTATATTGTTTATGAATATACATGCACTTTAAAATTTTTATCGTTTTAAAATTAAATTATAGATTAGTTTAGATGGTCATTCAAATTGTTTTTATTTACATTTTTAGTGGAGTGATTAGACTGCCAATTGTAAAGCCATACATTTTCCTCATTTCAATGTTTAATTAGTTGCTTCGAACCTAATGAATTATTTCCAAAAAATATTATAATCCTGTTACACCGTTATTGGTTAAATAAATATTGTTATTATGAAGAGTAATGTAATAGTTCATATGGATTGTGTGGATGAATCAATTTTATTTTTTAATAGAAATATCAAATTATTATAAATCAGCAGTTAAAATAAAATAGAAACATGGGATAACCGGTGAATGCCTTTTTTGTGACTCATTGTGTCCTCTGGTTGTACGATCCACAAACAAGTGGAATTCACTTCGAAGGTATCAATCACAGTATTAAATTTCTAGCCGTTGGTTTGTGGATCCAATGACTCGGTGCAATTATGCATTATTTGTCAATTCAATAATTCACGGTAATGAGTGAGAAAATTTTCCTTTCTCACCTCGTTTCGCTATTCAAACGAATTCATTCAATTAGACCCAAAATCACGAGAGATAACAATTGAGATTGTAATTTTTTATAGATCTCTGAAAATAGCCACGCAAATGGTGCCTTACTCAAATCACCTTTTATGAGATTAATCATTAATTCCACCGCATTCGTAATTATTTACGCGGAGAGAAATATGCGCCCAACGACTTAATAAATAATTTATTGCCATGAGAGCTGTAAAAACGTAAACAAATCGTAAAAAATAATTAACGACGAATTAATCATGAATCAAATTACGAAACTGTTTCCAGTCTCGACGAAACGAATCTATAATGAAAATTACAAACCACTCTCATCCGAACTTATCAGCTAAACAGATAATCGAATTTTTTGTTCATCATAGATCAATCATTCATCCTTCGAGACCCTAGGGATATTGTCATCGTGTTTATTACGAATAATCAATGTCTTCATGATTCGTTAACTGATACAATTGATAATTCAACATTCCGACAATAATAGCGACAATTGTGGACAAAAGCACCGAAATATCCATTCCAAAAAAAAACATAATCGATTTATGGTAAATAATCTGAAAGTTTAACTCGTCATAATCAGTGAGTTGAGGATTTTAAATTTACAATGGAATTTTATTTCAGCTTTATTCCCTGGTATTCTTAGTCACACGACGTGACTGCTATCTGTACACCAGGGGCCGTTTAAAATTCCCGCCAGGAACGTTGAGGTGTGAGAATCATGGTTCCACCTCATTTTGTAAAACACAACGGTTCGGTGAATTTTGTTGGGGAAAGGGAGTTGTATAATTGGGAATTGGTATCGAATTTTCCGATAAATCTTGAGAGCTCGAGGGGTTTCGCATCGACGGGTATAAAATACGGCGAGGGTAAGACACTTTACTTACATCTCAGATACATTGTTATCTTATCAGAATTAGGGGAATGTTTGTAGGTTTTCTTATTTGGGAACGTTACAGTCTTGTATTTGTTCTTTTAATCTTTTGTTTTGATAATACCATGTTGAAGTTGTGACACGTAATTGCGTTATCTGGTTAGACTAATTATGTAATCGAGTCGGGAGTTAATGATTTTGAGGTGAATGTCACTGTGGGTTTTCTCGGAGTTTCGCTGAGGATATTATACTCAGTCTAATTTAAATTATTCGTTATCGACGATTTCTTATCAGTCATTCATTCTGACGCGAGAACGTCAAGGTCGTGTAACTAAAAAATCATGATAGCGTCGATCATATTGAATTCATTCTTCCAATATACACGAATTGCATGGATTGTCTATTAGCACGAAAAATCTTAATTTCAATTTCAGAAAGATTAATTCAACCTACCCCCTATAATTTCCTGATATTCTTATTTTTAATGAATTTTGCACAGAAAAATTGCAAGAATGACTCTAAAAATACTTCAATAGATAATCGAGAGTCTTCAATGCCGAAAATGTAATTCTTACAGAAATTGATGGTGAGTTTTGATAAGTGAAATTCGAACAATCATCTCCACATTTTCTAAGTAAAAAATATCAGAGCAAGTTAAAAACGGTAATTACAAGAATAAATAGGGAGGATTGAGATAATAGTTGTTTTTTCCCCCCATGAAACCCCAGGGAAAGGGATTTTAACGCAGGAAACCCAGGGCAACACGCAGCTGCGACTGACACTGTGATTACATGTGTGTTGTTTGTCGACGGGATTTACAGATGCTGCACCAAAGTAAAACGAAGCGTAAACGTACCGATAAACAATATAAAAGCACCCCCACCCCAATTCCTCGTACTCTGTATACACAGTTTATTTTTTTTTATTTTTTCCTTTTGCACGAGACGACATGAGTGGAGATGAGTGGAACAACAGGAAATGTAAATGTATATTTACACTGTTGTTACCTCTACCCTGAAACGCAGTCAAGTCAGTCATATTGGTTTAACGAGAAACGTTTTAATATTTCTATCAAGATAAACCATATTTAAACTATAAATTGCATTAATTAGAAAGATATACGCGAGGGAAGAACAATAAAATGATAAGAAATTCATTATCGTAGTAATATGTGAAGAAGGATTATATATAATACTTCTTGAAATATACCTGATCAATTAAAGAAGTAAACTGAAATTATTACATATCAATATTCATAATAAACATGTATTCAAGAGCCCCATATTCGAGGAGTTAATCAAATCACACAATGTTTGATTCACCAGAACTTTATCCTTTTAAGATTTGCATTTCCCGCGGAGATTTATAATTTTTTCCACGTCATATGCTTTTATCTTCATGAATAAATATGATTGTCTACGTCGGACATTGACCCCCACATCGCCATTTAAATACTTTTTTTTTCGTGTCAAACACCCGCTGCCAAAATAAATATATCCTCGGCACAATAGGAGAAGATGGAATGCCTTCAATTCACAAAGTACGAGTAGGAATTATTTTAGATAGTCTGAATTCAAAATGTCAGTTGGTAAATTCTCATTGCGTTATTTTTCAAATCCTATTTTCTCCCATTACTGAAGTGATATGATTTTTCATTGCAGCGGAGGGGAGAAAATACTGGGTGACGCCGGGCCCAAAACACGGACCCCACAGGGTGAATAGCTTAGGTCGGACGGGATGTAGGCCTTTGGGCCTTGACCTGGCAACCGACTACATTCCTTTGACAGCTCTCCGTCATTTCTATATTTTAGACTGGACTCTGAAATATCTCGAAATAAATCAATTTACCCAATGTATTATTTTTTTTAAAGCATTTTTTTTTATTTCTTTAAGCTTTGTTAAACTCGACAGCGGTAAATGGTGAAGGAGGTAGAGCTGAAGAGTGGGGACTGGTCGAGACGAGCAAACGTTATGTGGCCAAGCGGTTGTGGCCTCTAAAAATAAATGTGTTGTTTATTCACAAGTAAACCGGATGCCGGTGTTTGCTTTGGAGCAAATTGTTTTGTTCGGTTTTGCCGGGGCACGAACGCGAGAAAACTGTACGCACCGCAGACTCGTCAAGTGAGAAAACTTCGGTTTAAGAATGGTGAAGAATTTTTCGACGTTCCCGTCGTGTTATGTAAATCATTTCTAATTTCACGAGGTAAACTAAGAGTTTATGTGAATAAACAAATCGCATGTATGCT